GTGCGAGGCTATGCTGGAGTGAATTTAACCATTTTTTCACATATTGAAGAAAAGGGGAGGAACAAGAAATTTCCTACCTCAAGATTTGCTCCTAATTGTCTATGTTTCTCTATAGATTCTTGCCCACCAGTAAATGCATGCTTGTTTACCTGCAGATAACAACAGAAACTTATAATTGGGATATATGCATATCTAACAATATGTATTATTGAGCTTACATCAAAACAAAACATTTCAACCCATAATAATCAAGATTCCTCTTCACTTTAACCAATATGATCCACAAGCCTTCCTCTTTACATGCCCTTTCAAGGTCACAAAAGCCAAATGTACGAAAAATTCTAAAAAAGAGTGGCCCAACAAGGTGAATCTGAAATAAGCAAAAAGAATAATGTAGAGAGATAATTTAAGCAAGCATTGGAGCAAAAGCATCAAAACAAAAGCATGCAAAATGCTGTAAGTAGACTTAAACAAAGAGCTAGAAGAAAATGATGAAAAGCACTACTCCTGTCCACGATTATTCTTTCTAGAAGTCACAAACACTTCAATTTGGGATCAACTGCCAGAGAAACAGGGACTTATCAATGGCAGTTGTAGAAATACAAACCAGCAAACAGATTCTACAAGCTATGACTTCTCATAGGACACACGTCCAGCAGACCAAATAACGCCAAATAAAGATTCCACCATTTATGGTAAAAACTGTAAGATTCCTTGTGTACTTAAATTTTATACAATGGACACATCATTGTCGGTGCCTGAGTTCTTGTTCAACTCAGTGTAGTAAAAACTATACAAGAAACTGTAGAAGGTTCCACAACTACTGGGAAAGAGTAACCTCCCACCACAGATGGTGGAGAAAGTAACCATGCACGACCAACAGTCACAAGTCCTATAAGGGAGAGGGGATTCAATAAACATTCATGACAGAAAGTTACCTTTCGTCAAGAAACCACAATGGTTAGTTGGGTAAATGTCCCTTATGAGTTTCTTCCCTCTGATAGCATTTGGCAGCAAGAATTTGATGAGACTTTTTGGGGGACAAATTTGTAAGGTACAAGTGCTCATAAAAACTATAAAGCTTGTAGCGGACTTTGTGTGACAGGTATATCGAAAGGTAAAGGTATCACAAACCATAAACACAGGATAAATACAAAGAGATGTAACCAAAAAGACAAAATCAAAATAATTAGCCCACTGTGGTTGTTCATGAAACTAGAAAATCCATCAGAGTACTTTCCATGTGAAATTGCAACAAGTTAGAAACAGACCTTGTAACTAATTTCCTTTCCAGAATCAGTCACATAGATGGCAGAATTTGGATCACTAGCGGACATTTTTCCTGTCTC